CACCCACCCCCGGTTGTCAGCACACAGCCCCTCTCCCTCTCTGGATCTCAAGTCCCCAGCCACTCCATCTCTCCACGTCATCGCAATACTGCAATCTTTGTAGATTTCTCCATGGAGTGGCTGGTGGGTTCTAACCACGAGCCAAGCACTTAACCATTGTGCCACCAAGACTTTAGGTTACTGTTGTTGTTAAGTGCCATTGAGTCGGTTCTGACTCATAGTCACCCTTTATAGGGTTTCCGAGAAGCAGCTGGCATGGTTGAACTGTCCAGTGCTGACCCTACAGCACCACACCAGGAGTCCCTTAGGTTAGTTGTTGTTAAGTGCTGTTGAATCAGTTCTGACTCATAGTGACCCTGTATAAGGAGTGGCTGGTGGGTTTGAACCACCGACTTCGTGGTTAGCAGTCCAGGGCTGATCCTACAGCACAACACCAGGTTAGTTGTTGCTGTTGTTAAGTACTGCCAAGTCTGTTCTGACTCATGGCAACCCTGTACAGATAGGGTTTCCGAGGAGTGGCTGGGGAGTTTGAACCGCTAACCTTGCCATCCAGTGCATTATCCTACAGTGCCACACCCGGACTCCACACCGGGTTAGTAGTCTATTGCAAATCATTTGTACCAAGTAGGGACCTTGATTATAGTGCATGCCAGTTAATCTTTCTGTGACCACAGTCAGTACCCCTAGACCTAGAGCAGCCATCTGGGCAGAAAAACAGCTCAAGGCAAACCAATCCCCAGTGCTAGGAACACAGATCACAAAGCATCTGCTGCAGGTGCTGGACTAATGACCTGTTTTTATGGAAGGATAGGCAATGTCAGAGAGTATGAGGCTGCCACAAAACCTCTCCTGGAGTCTGGGATCAGGCAAAGTGAGGCCTCCTTGCCAGCCTTGAACATACACCCCACCTCCCCCTCCTTACCTTATAGTTGTTGTGAAGTGCCATCGAGTCAGTTCCGACTCATAGCGACCCTGTATGTGGTTTCCAAGGAACAGCTGGTGGGTTTCAACCGCTGACCTTGCAGTTTGTAGTCCAGTGTTTATCCTACAGCACCGCACCAGGAGTCCTTACCTTACTGTCCAGCTTCTTCATGGTCACTAGGTCCAGAGATTTCAGAGAATGGCCGGTGGGGGCGATGAAGTATAAGCAGACGTGGATGCGGGTGTCGTGGTAGGTGTGCAGCACTCGGCGTATCTTCAGCTCCTCCTGCAGGTAGGCCTCGAACTGTGCATCAATGAATTCCACAATGGGCTTATAGCTAAAGGGAAGAAGAAGGAAATGGATAGACCACTTCAAAAATCTGTTTTTTGATCCAACCCTTTTCAGAAGTTGAAAATGTCCTACATGATGAGGTCCTTCTTATGCAGCCTCAGTGGGCCTCCAATCCTGTCTGGCTGGTCACCACCTTTGTCCCCACATGAGCCATACTTAGGACTATGACCTATCATCACTCTGGAACGTCCATTTCTCTCTCTTTGTGTCCATCTTGCCCTCCAAGATGTCAGAGCTCCGTTTAATGTCCACCTCCTCCATACAGCCTTCCCCAATTATTCCAGAAATCCCTTTCATGACCTAAGTGCACTGAAAAATATGGTATTGCCAATTTGATTAAAGACTACTTTTGTTGTTGTTGTTGTTAAGTGCGGCTGAGTCGATTCCGACCCATAGCGACCTTGTATAGGGTTTCCAAAGAGCAGCTGGTGACCTTGAACCACTGATCTTGCAGTTCAAACGACTTTGCAGTCTGACGCATTAGCCCACAGTGCCACACCAGGACTCCTAGAGAAAAGTCCTAACCAAAAGGGGTCGTATGCTGACCAAATTTTTAAATTTAAATTCTCATGGACTTTCTAAACAAGCCATGGAGACTGGATGAACCTCTAAAACTGTTGCCCAGAGAGAACTTTAAACCTTAAACCCAAAAGATCCCCTAATGTCATCTTTAAACCAACCAATAGTTTAGCTTAACTGGTAAAGAATGTCTGCCTTGAGCACTGTGCTCTTTTTAGAGCTATCTATATGGGATCGCTATGGGTCGGACCCGACTCGACGGCACTTAACAACAACAACAACAATATGGGATCTGAAGTAAAAACTCAAGCCTCGACTTTCGTTACTGAAGGATTCTCTGGGCAAATTATTGACTGATGCAGAAAGCATCAAGAGAAGATGGAAGGAATACACAGAGTCACTGAACCAAAAGGAAATAGTTGATGTTCAACCATTTCAAGAGGTACCATATG